AAAAAAAAAAAAAAAAAAAAAAACCCTAGAAGAAAACCTACGCCACACCATTCAGGACATAGGCACAGGCAAGGACTTCATGACTAAAACATCAATAGCAACAACAACGAAAGCCAAAATAGACAAACGGAATCTAATTAAACTCCAGAGCTTCTGCACAGCAAAAGAAACAATCATTAGAGTGAACCGGCAACCAAGAGAATGGGAAAAAATTTTTGCAATCTACCTGACAAAGGGCTGACATCCAGAATCTACAAAGAACTAAAGCAGATTTACAACCACCACAAAAAAACAAACAAACACATTCAAAAGTAGGCAAAGGATATGAACAGACACTTTTCAAAAGAAAACATATATGCGGCCAAGAAGCATGTGACAAAATGCTCATTATCATTGGTCATTAGAGAAATGCAAATCAAAACCGCATTGAGATAACTGCCACCTCATGCCAGTTAGAATGGTGATCATTAAAAAATCTGGAGACAACAGATTCTGGAGAGGATGTGGAGAAAAAAGAACACTTTTACACTGTTGGTGGGAGTGTAAGTTAGTTCAACCATTATGGAAGACAGCGTGGCGATTCCTCAAGGATCTAGAAATAGAAATTCCATTTGACCCAGCAATCCCACTACTGGGTATATACCCAAAGGATTATAAATCGTTCTGTTATAAAGACACATGCACACATATGTTCGTTGTGGCACTGTTTATGACAGCAAAGACCTGGAGCCAACCCAAATACCCATCAATGACAGACTGGACAAAGAAAATGTGGCATATATACACCAAGAAATACTATGCAGTCATAAAAAACGACGAGTTCGTGTCCTTTGTAGAGACATGGATGAATCTAGAAACCATCATTGTCAGAAAACTGACACAAAAACAGAAAACCAAACACCGCATGTTTTCACTCACAGGCAGGTGATAAACAATGAGAACACTTAGGCACAGGGAAGAGAACACCACTCACTGAGCTAGGTGGGGAGGTGGAGGGGAGGGGAGGGACATTGGGGAAGTGGAACGATGGGGAGGGATAACACTAGGAGAAATGCCTGATGTAGGTGATGGGGTGGGGACAGGGATGGAGACAGCAAACCACCATGGCATGTATGTACCTATGCAACAGTCCTGCAGGATGTGCACATGTACCCCAGAGCCCAAGGTAAAATTAAAAAAAAAAAAATTAAGTTGCCCTGACTATAGGCTTTGATTACAGTAGTTACAAGTGGACTTTTTTTTTTTTTTTTTTTTTCTTTTGAGACGGAGTTTCGCTCTTGTTACCCAGGCTGGAGTGCAATGGCACGATCTCGGCTCACCGCAACCTCCGCCTCCTGGGTTCAGGCAATTCTCCTGCCTCAGCCTCCTGAGTAGCTGGGATTACAGGCACGTGCCACCAGGCCCAGCTAATTTTTTGTATTTTTAGTAGAGACGGGGTTTCACCGTGTTGACCAGGATGGTCTCGATCTCTTGACCTCATGATCCACCCGCCTCGGCCTCCCAAAGTGCTGGGATTACAGGCTTGAGCCACCGCGCCTGGCCACAAGTGGACTTTTAAAGCAAAAGAAGAGGCAGTTCCTATGTTCACCAATAATTTGCACTGAAGTAACTGAAGTGCCATCAGGCATTTGTGGTCCCAGCTACTTGGGAGGCCACCAAGGCCGGAAGATCATTTGAGACCAGGAATTCAAGACCAGCCTGGGCAATATAGTGAGACCTCCTCTCTACAAAAAAAAAATTTAAATTAGGTGGGCATGATGGCACACACCTGTAGTCCCAGCCACTCAGAGGTTGAGTCAAGAAGATCTCTCTCTTTTTTTTTTTTTTTTTTTTTTTTTTTTTTTTTTTTGAGGTGGAGTTTCACTCCTGTTGCCCAGGCTGGAGTGCATTGGCTGGATCTCAGCTAACCGCAACCTCCGCCTTCTGGATTCCAGCTATTCTCCTGCCTCAGCCTCCTGAGTAGCTGGGATTACAGTACAGGTGTGCACCACCATGCCTGGCTGATTTTTGCATTTTTAGTAGAGGCAGGGTTTCACCATGTTGGCCAGGCTGGTCTCGAACTCCAGACCTCAAATGACCTGCCCGCCTCAGCCTCCCAAAGTGTTGGTTTTACAGGCATGAGGCACCACGCTCGCCTGAAGTAGGAGGATCTCTGAAGCCCAGGAGTTCCAGACTGCAGTGAGCTATGATCACAGTGCTGCACTCCAGGCCTCGGTGATGTAAGAGATACCTCATCTTAAAAATAAAACAATAACACAAGCAACTGATCGGCTATACATTATTCTTTGTATCACAAATTCCAGGTGCATAATTCCTTTAAATAATTGTTCCCCAGGGCTGCATGAGGGAGTATGGCTGAAGTCTCTCTGAGCTCCGATAAATTCTGCATACATCACATGGCTCAGATTGTTCTATTTTTCTTTTCTCACAAGTATTTTTCCAGCTACTGAATTCTCTGCCCACCCACATTTTTCAGGTCTATATGCTTGTTCGTTTTTTGAGGCAGGGTCTCAATGTCGCCCAGGCTGGAGTGCAGTGGCTTAACAACGGCTCACTGCAGCCTTGACCTCCCAGGCTCGGGTGATCTTCCCACCTGAGGGTCCCAGGCGTGCGCCACCACACCCTGTTAAATTTTTCGTAGAGCCGGGGCTGGTGGGTGGGGGGAGCGGTCTCGCCAGACCCAGGCTGGTCTCGAACTCCTGGGGCTCAGGTTATCCACCCACTTAGGCCTTCCAAAGTGTTGGGATTATTACAGTCGTGAGACACCACGACAGGCCGCAAGTCTAATTTTCTTAGAGTTAAAAACACAGAATTCATCCAAGTGTGCTTCAGTGCCAGATAGGGTTCCAAACTGGGTGTCCCGACTTTTGCAAAACACGTGCAGTAAGCCTGTGGGTGAAAGTACAGACGGCTAAGAGCCCAACAACCCCTGGCCTCTGTGCTTATGCTTACTCCCCAGACCAAGGGTAGGTCGGCCTGCCTGCTTGGCTCTTTTGCTCCCACTCACGGCTCAATTCCTGTCACCCTCTTACATTTCCTGGTCTTCTTTCCCGCCATCCAGCCCAGTCCTTCCCCTTCCAGAGCAAGCACCTGACTCAGAAGACGCGGTCGAGACACGATGCCCCGCAGATCGATGTAGATGGGGGAGGAGAGCCCGCTCTTCAGCACGAAGTCCCCAAACTTGAAAGCCTGCACGTCGTACAGACCCGTCACCAAGGGCCCCAAAGCTGCACCAGCGGCCGCCATTGTCGCGCGCTGCCTGTTTGCTTCAAAATCCCAGGCGCAGCGGCCCTCCGGCGCCCCGAGACGCTGGCGCCCCGATGACGTCGCCCGCGAAGCCCCGCCTTTTCCGCTTGCCTCGCTGGCAGCTTCCCGGGCTTGCCGCACTCACTTCTGGGTTCCCCCGAGCTCAAGGGTCCGTGGCTGGTAGCCAATCTACCGCCAATTTGTGCCTCTCCTGCTTTCTTCTGGATGCGGTCGCTGGGTTTCAAAGCCTCGAGCAGCTAGTTTGACTGTAGGATCATTAAGTCCAACCTTTATGAGAGTTTGCATAAATCCTGCTCGTTTTCTAACAGCCGGTGCATTCTCGACTAGTTCTCTTAATTATCTATACTCCTTGGCCCAGCATGTTATAATTTGCTAGTTATTAGCCACGATTTAACCCCCATGTTTCTCCAAATAGAATACAGGTTCTCAAAGACAAGGACCTTGACTCAATTCTTTTATTAACTTCATAGCATCTATTTTGTGACAGTTTCATAGCAGTTTGCACATAGGAATATATAGCACCTAGATCATTACAGTATTCGTTACCTCTTTTGTCTGTACTCTGCTTCCTGGTTTGGCATATCTCAAATGCTTAGGTAATAGGTGTAGAAAGGTAAGGGAGGGAGGGAGGAGAGTTAGAAACCGTGAATTGATTGGTATCAGGGTTATTCAGGAGGATAATATTGCTAGACAATCTGAAAATCCAAATATATTTGGTCTTTACAAATAAATCCCTTAGAGAAGTTCTCCATTGTGTATATAAGGCAATACTTTATTCTAGTTTAAGGAAAATAACCCTTAAATTCACATAAAGAATGAAATCTTGTTATTCACAGCAAGGTGGATGAACCTGAAGGACATTATGTTATGTGAAATAAGCCAAGAACAAAAAAACAAGAAAGATAAATACCAAATGTTCTCACTCATATGCAGAAGCTAAAAAAGTTGATCTCATGGAGGTAGAGAGTAGACTATTAGTTAGTAGAGGTTGGGAAGGGTAGAGGGTGGTTAAAGGATACAAATTATAGCTACATAGAAAAGATAGGTCCTAGTGTTCTATAGCACTGTAGGGTGACTGTAGTCAACAACAATTTACTATATATTTTCATATAGCTAGAAGAGGGGATTTTGAATGTTCCCAACACAAAGGAATGATAAATATTTAAGGTGAGAAATATATGAATTACTCTGATTTGATCACTATACATTGTGTGTATTGAAATAGAACTATGTTCCCAATAAATGTGTACAATGATCATGTGTCAACTATAATACTTTTTTAAGAAAAGAGGAACAGATAAGGCATAGCAGTATTGTGTGCTGCAAAGAACATGAAGTTTCAAACCAAAACATTTGGGTTTTAGTCTCAGCTGTGCTTACTGGCTGAGTGATCTTTGGCAATGCATTTTGAGCTATATGAGTCTCGATTTTCTCAAAAATAGAATTAAGATAATATTAACTTTCTTCAAAGATCACTATGAAGATTCAGTGAGATAGTTCACTCCAAAACACCTTATAGGGCCGGGTGTGGTGGTTCACACCTGTAATCCCAGCACTTTGGGAGGCTGAGATGGGCAGATCACAAGGTCAGGAGTTCAAGACCAGCCTGACCAACATGGTGAAACCCTGTCTCTTAAAATACACACACACACACACACACACACACACACACTCTCTCTCTCTCTCTCTCTCTCTCTCTTTATAAAAAGTTAGTAGGTGGCTAAGCATGGTGCTCATGCCTGTAATCTCAGCACTTTGGGAGGCTGAGGCAGAAGGATCACCTGAGATCAGGATTTGAGACCAGCCTGGCCAATGTGGTGAAACCCTGTCTCTACCAAAAAATACAAAAATTAGCCAGGCATGGTGGCACATGCCTTTAGACCCAGCTACTTGGGAGGCTGAAGCAGGAGCATCTCTTGAACCTGGGGGGTGGAGGTTGCAGTGAGCCAAGATCGAGCCACTGTACTCCAGCCTGGGTAACAGAGTGAGACTCTGTCTCAAAAAAAAAAAATAAATAAATAAGCTAGTGGAACATAGATTGTATCAATTCATTTTGTGTTCTCCATTTCATTTACTTAGGCTGAGTAAAGGATCTTGACTCTAACCAATACTTAGTCTTACAGGTTTAGGTATTTATCCTAAAGAGTTTCCTTTAATGTAAAACTTCATGCAATAGTTCAGTCTAGAGCCTTTCCTTGGACTTAGCTCTATACTGCTCACTGAATCCCTTGTATATTCTACTCTGATATCTATTTTAGACCGAGCTTGGTGGGTTCAGATTATCATTTGTATTGGGGCTTTTGCTAATATTCCATAACTGAATTGGTCATTCCTCTCAACCACTCCCCCTCAAAAAAATACAGGCTGAAGTATTGTTATTTAATCATTTATTATTGTTTGACCCACACTATACAGACACAGGCACGGCGAAACACACAAATACACATTTAGTTTATCTTCTAGGGCCAGGGGCTCATGCTTGTAATCCCAGCACTTTGGGACACAGAGATGGAAAGATGTCTTGAGCCCAGGAGTTTGAGGCCAGCCTGGGCAACATGGTGAGACTCCATTTCTTAAAAAAAAATTAAAAAATTAGCTAGACATTATGGCATACACCTGTCATCCCAGCTACTGGGGAGGCTGAGGGAGGGGGATGATCTGAGCCTGGGAGGTTGAGGCTACATTCAATGAGCTGTGATTGTGCCACTGAAATCCAGTCTGAGTGACAGAGTAAGACCATGTCTCAACAAAAAATGTTATCTTCCAGTGAAGGTCTTAGTGACCTTGAGCAATCACGTAGATCCTGTGACTCAGTTTCTCTACTCCAAATGAAATAAGTTACTTCATAAGAATTTGTTGGGATTCAATGAAATAATAATTACAAATGGGCTTTTAAGCTATATAGATGCTAAAATATATACAAATTCTAGATCTAAAAAAGCCAGTAAGGGGCTTATGATTCTAATTCATCAACCTGATTCTGATTTAATTTCTAATATTATTTATTATCTATATTTTCTCTTTTTTTTTTTTAAAGATGGGGTTTCACCATGTTGGCCAGGCTGGTCTTGAACTCCTGACTTCAGGTGATCCGCCCGCCTTGGCCTCCCAAAGTGCTGAGATTGCAGGCGTGAGCCACTGCACCCAGCCATATTATCTATATTTTCTCTAAGGAGATTGTGCTGATGAACCAATGTGAAGAGCCCATGCTTTTGACAAGTGTTTCTCATTACAAATAAATGCAATGAAATCTTGATGAAATAGAAGCCAAATGTTAAAACTTTTTTTGACTTTCTTGGCAAAGTAAGCTAATCAAAACACTTTAACAGTCTGGCTAATTGACAGTATACCATGAATCAGCCTCATTTGCACTTGGGTGGCACATTTAAACTTTCAAAGCCCGATCATGTCTGCATAGGCTAACCTAGATTGCTGGAGTCCACACCAGAATGTATAAACCTGTGAGAACCAGCCCAAAATATCCTCCAAACATTCTAACAGTATTATCACCTGAAACACCAGTGTGAAATTAACAACCACCCGAGGCTTTCTTTTTTTTTTTTTTTTTTTTTTAATAGGGTCTCACTTTGTTGCCTGGGCTGGAGTGAGGTGGCATAATCACAGCTCATTGCAGCGTCTACCTCCTGGGCTCAGATGATCCTTCCACCTCAGCCTCCCAAGGTGGGACCACAGGTGTGCACCACCACACTCAGCTAATTTTTTAAACAATTTTTTAATATGTGGGCTATTTGGGGGAGGTGGGTGTCTCCCTATGTTGGCCAGGCTGATGTCGAACTCCTAGGCTCAAGATCCTTCCTCCTCGGCCTGTCAAAGTGTTGGGATTTACAGGTGCTAGTCATAGCACCCAGCCCTGAGGTTTACTTGGCATTTTTGGGTAAATCGTTTAGAATACTCCACTGCTTTCTTTCTAAAATCCTGAGCAAAAAGTGTTGTAATAATTATGTGATATTTTTACCTTTTCAAAGTCTTTCATATATTTGGAGAAAGCAAGAAAGAAATTACTCTTTTCTTTGAATAAAGGTTTAATTAGAAAAAAAAAGGACGACCATATAGTATCTTTAGTATAGTATATTTATAGGAATGCATAACATGTGAGATGTACATTTTGAAGTTTCATCTATAACTTATAACATTGACGGTAGCAGAAACAAGACAGCAGGTCATCACTTTACAACATTACACATGAGTGATTTTGACTTACAAATAAAATATTTACAACCTACCTTTACAAAACGACATTGTGTGCATACAAAATCAACAACAGCAGAAAAATTTAAAAAATAATAAAACAACCAAAAATCCAGAAGATACACTTAAGGCAGACCAGCAAGACACTGAAATAATTAAGGCTGTGGAATTCTTCTGCACCTTGAAAATATAGAGCTATTTATCAATACTGTGGAGTGATTTTAAATCAATTGTTACAAGCCTGATGAAGTATATACTTATATGTATATGTGTGATGGTCCTTATGGGGAAACCTGTCCACTTATGAATAAGGCCCTTTGTCTGAATGGCCAGTGAAGCCCACTCCAAATTCTCAAAAGACTTGGGGGCAGGGGTCACTGAAAACCAAGAGATGCCAATACAGTTTGCAAATTGACAACTGATAGTTCAACTATAATGATGAAGTCCAGATAAACAGAATAACCTAACTGATGGCCCCTTTATGTTTCACACTTTGTTAGTTTGGCTTTGTGGACATCAAAAGACAGCAAATTAATTCCCAAATGAGTAGAGTTTGTCTCCACAAATTAGCCCTAATGGTTTTGAATGGCCCTAAATGGTTTTCCAATAGAAAAATTGACCCACCTGGGCTGTCTGCAAATGGATAGATTTCTGCATATGAGCAATAACATATACATACATATTATACACTATATACATGTACAGATGTACATATATCCGTATGTTCCAACAGTTTGCACTTTGACCACTACTGTTCTCTGAACAGGATCTCATTCTGAAGAATATGTTTAGTTTTTTTCACAGTCTTCTTATTTGTTCTATTAGTTTTACTCACCTTCCCCATAGAGTAGGCTGAAGTTTGGCAGAAACAGAAGTAAAAGCACCAGGGTCAGAAAAATCAAACATAGAGATGACAGATATGGCTTAAGTTAGTAAGAGACGATGTATGTTTTTTTAATTTCAGGTTCCTAGAGACAGTCTTTGAGGTTATAGTAACAGTCTCCATCGTACTCCAGAACGTGGACTCAATTCTCGATGGAAGTCAGGTATTGATGGAAGCTCCTATGCTGGCTATCCCTGGGCCAACAGATTAGCTTGGTTAAACTAAGCCTCAGGGGCTGGCATTCCAAGAATTGCTACTTGCATTTCTTCTACCATGCTTCCTTTTCTCAGCTAACCTCACTATCTGAAATAGCAGTTATCTAGCTAAACTGTTATCTTGATCATTTGAGTAAAACCTAAATCTGAACACACTTTAGAATCTCACAGCAAATGGGCACATTTCTCACAGAAAAATGCAATAGCCTGCGCATATAAATTTCAGGCTTTTCATAATGTCCCTCAATGATGAAAAGTTGCCTTGGAGTGACTGCTTTTTCCTCTCCTCTAACTTTATATTTATTGAAGATGAGGAAGAAATGCCTTTCATAGAAAATATGTTCTTATGAGAATTCTGTGTTCTCCTACTTCTGTATAAATTTTTTATGTAATATTTCCTATTAAAAACATTTAGTGCTATAAACAAATTTCAGCCCTTTTTAACCCTTTAGAATTAATGAAACAACTGAGAGTCTTACTATTTTTAGAAAATAAGTATTAACATAGTGGCTTTCCTTTTCTGGATGAAACATGTGTGAGCTCTGTCTTCTCTAGGCTTACCCTGGGTTTAATCATTCATCCTCAAATCATCCCTAGACTTTAAATAGTGAAGAAAACGCAAGGTGCAGTTTTATAAATAAATCCACTAAAAGGTCATATACTGTGTTTGTCTAACCCAGACTCCACAGAGGTGCGACCCAGGAGAGAAAGGAAGGTCTACATTCCTCAAAACTCATCCAGCACAATTCATTGTCCACACTGAATAAGGACATGGTGAGTTTGAACTTTGCCCCTCTACAAAGACCTCTTATTTACAAAATATTTCCTCCTCTATTAAAAGATGAGGCAAAGTTTTAGTTAATGCACAGAAATAACTAAAATTTAGTTTATATTTACTTCCTCATATTCTCACAAATCTAAATTGCCATGCTCTTCTACAGAGGCAAGAAAAAAGTAATGCCTAACTCATGGGATCTAATCATGGGGGTTATGGGACAGCAAATATGCAACTCCTGAAAGACTAAGCCACCTTAAAAAAAAAAAAAAAAGATTCAAGGTTTGTCCTCCAAAAATGAACAGTCCAATTCATTTCTATGCATTTAACTTGCCTGTGCCTTTAATTTGCCTCTTATAATAGATTCCTGTGAGACTGTAAAAAATAAATTGTGATATGAGAAGATGTTTTCTTCTCACTTCTGCCCTCCCAAGCGAGGAAGATGGTTCTTGGGTTCTTTTCTGCCTGTTTTTCCAGAGCATAAAGCTTGAGAAGAGAAGGTAGCAGCTGCTTTTGAGGGCATTTTACTCTTTGCACTTGCCATAAAAAATACTGGAGAAAACGGCTTATGGACATAAGACTTCATCAGCTCTCCTGACTCTTTTCAGTAGACAAGCTCTTAAATGATCGAAATTGCAGGCTAAGACCAAATAACATTTAGACAAAGAGCACCTAATACTTCCAACTGAAAGCAATTTACAGAATTTAATCTGAAAGCAATTTGCAGAATTTAATCTCATGAGTTTATAAATGGTATTTAAAGATGTGAATATTAAAAACCTGGAATGTTCAAAGTTACTATCAATAAAATTCTTAGCACTGGCAGTGTATAGCACTTTAAAAAAATCAAAGTATTTCATAGATGTCCCAACCAAGGTTATTTCTCAACATTCCTGTAAGATTAATGTCCTTCCTCCTTCCCCATCCCCCAATTCCCATTTTACCAATGGGTACATTTGGGGAAGAAAAAACAAAGACTTTCTGTAAGAAAAGATGAATCAGGAATAGCTGAGATTGAAGCTCAAAAATTCCTGGTTCCACCCCTATATTCAGATGTTTGCATTTACAAGACGTTTTAAAATAAAGAAAAAATGCTGCAATGTCAGTAAATCTAAATGCAATGAACTTCTTTATCTCCCATCCTCCCCTCTGAAAGGCACTACTATTTATAAAGGCTTTGTGGACCACAAAGCAGTGAAGCTAGCGTTCTCCTCTGCTTCCTCTACTCCCCCTTACACTGTTTATGGCTGAGAGAGACCTGAAGGACATCTCCACCATTACCATTTGTTTTCTTAAAAATTTTACCACATTCAGCTATACTTGGATATATATCTATTCAATTTGAAACAAATGCAAAAGATGTAGGAAATCATTATATTAATACTTCTTAAAAGTTATTATGGGTTGTCCCTGATCTTTTCATTATTTGTGTCCCACCCTTATAAAACAAAACAAAAACCTCAGAACCTTATGCAATGAATATAAGCCAAGCAAGAAACTTGTGACCTTGACCATTGTTTGTTTTTCTCATTTCAGCTGGGAGTTCAGTCTCACTGTGAACTACCATCATTATGATAGAAGTGGACTATTTTCTCTTCTCTCCTCTCTTCTTTACTACCAAGTAATAAATCTGTCTGCCAAAATGGGAACAAGAGTGGTCCCTGATCCTTCTTCCCTAACCATGGTTGCCCTCAAAACAACCTAAATTACATTTCCCAGGTCCATCGTCTGGAATTCCTTGTTATTTCCAACTTGCTCTGGAGAATTCTTGAACCAAGACTATTCTCTTATCCCTGTTGGGAGGGACCAGGAGCCTTGCAGACAGGGAACCTTCCTGTTAGTTTCCCTATGTTCTCAAACTATATAAAATATACTCCCTTTCTCTTGGGACCTCTATTAAGTTCATTCTAGTCTGATGATTGTACCTTGGCCCCAAAATCATCCTACTTCATTTCTAGGTCCCTCCTTTCCTGTCTTCTCACTTCCCCAGTATGTGTACTTGGGGGAATTCCATGCAACCCCACATTTGGATCCTTCCAACGCTGTTGTAAAAGCTGATATGAAAGCTTGGGTTCTGTCTAACATTCTGTCAGCTGCCCCCATAACATAATTTCAACAACCCCCCATTCCCCCTACACCCGTCATGGTCTATGCATTACTGTCCTGGGCCCTGGCCTTCTCAAGAAGAAACTCAGCTTGTTATAAAAACTCAGACTGGCTCAGCAGAGGGATCTTGATTCAAGTCATCCACAGTGGACAGAACAGAACTTGCCGAGCCAGACTTTATGGATATTGGGAATCCTCAGAGCCTGCAGTCTGTCCCATGACAAACCCTACAGGCTGGACTTTCCTCCTTTATGTGTATACCATAATGAAGACATGTTTACTGAAAGGGTTTTAGTAAACATGTTTACTAAAAGGATTTTTAATAAAGATGTTTTAAAATTTTTAAGCATAATGAAAATGTTTACTAAAAAAATTTACTAAATATGTTTTAAATTTTAAAAAATTTCAGTAAACATGTTTACTAAAAGGATTTTTAGTAAGTATGTTTTAAATTTTTACGTATTGTATCATAGAGTGTTTGTACATACATAAAGGTTCAAATGAAGACTATAGGGTATAGTTAAGAGAGACCTCTGAGGGAGTGAGGCTTAATGACCCAGGGCCGTTTGAAAACTAGAAAACAAATATAGTCAGATACAGTCGGAGTCGGTTTCCATATATTTGGTTAATCCCAAAAATACTAAGTGCTATCTAGTCTTATTGCTTATACTTTCCACTAAGGTATCAATCTATAATCTTGGATGGGATGAGGAAGCTGACTCTGAAACCAATAAGAAAAAAAATGATGATGATTTTTAATTTTACGTTTCCACTGTGGGAATAAGTGTTTTCTTTATATGTTAAAGTTCAGGCTTAGTTTCCACCATTTCTTTTTCATTTAGATAGATTTGTAGTTCTATTCGTCCTTCATACGTTCTCTTCTTGAACCTCTGTACTGCGAGATTTTAATTTTCTCTATCCCATTATAGGAGAGAAGCAATGCCATTAAACCTGATTCGAACAAACACTTGAGTTATATTTTTAAAATCTTACTTGTATAATAGCATTTCAACACGCATTCTAGAAAACTAAGGATGGATCATGTACAAACACAAAAAACAAACTCCCTCTCCCCCAACAAACAAAAATAAAGAAAGAAAACCCATGAAGCGCCCAGGTTTAATTTTTTTTTCCACCAGAGGGAAAAAGAGCAGTTAATAATAATCTTGTATGAAGAATATATACCAGAAAGCAGCATTGGCCTCAAAGTAAAATTAGTCCCTTTAGTTCAGAGAACTATCAGCAGCTGAGTGGTAACAGGTATTGCAATCTCAGTTACAACTTAATGTTCTGTTAGGGTGATGTATCAGGTTTTGTCCCATGGCTTTAGAAAGGACTTAGGGCCAGGCCTTTAGAAGGCCTATATGGCTGCCTCCTTTTAGTAAGCACCCCTTAGCTTCAATAAGGAGTTAGAAATAAAGCCAGCTAACTTTCTGAAAGACTGTATTCTACAGCCGTAGAAGAAATCAGAAAGTATTGGTGTGTTGTTCATAGGAACCATAGGAGAGGTTTCCATTTGCCCTTTTGTATGGATCTCTCATATTCGTTTACTTATTTCAAACCCGGTGTAGACACGAAAATACTCCCGCAGCTCATACTGTATTTGAACTTATTTCCCGATAGGCTTGCTTGCCCGATTAACTCTGAGCTACCAGTGAATTTGCAGGTAGTGTTTCATACACAGAAAGAACCTATCTTAACCAAAAAACCTGTGATTGACAGAAAAAATCTTCTCATTCAAAAGGGCAACATTGCTTTCTCTTAATGCACAGGTTCTGGTAAAAGATTTCTATACAAGATTTATAAAATGCTCTAAAAAACTTATCTAATTGTGCTTAGTCAAAACAATGTAATGCTTCGGTAAATAAATTACTGTCTTAACTGGAGCACTCAGTTCCTTGTGATTGATTTAATATATATCTCTTTATATTAGAAAACTCTGAAACCTGAATGGGATATATTATACTGTATGTGTATATGTATCTTATTAAGAAACTATATCTAAGTTATCTAAACCAGAATAGTTGATATACATGACATCTCCACTAAATAGAACTTTTTGCTTAAAATTTCAGCAAAGCCAGAGACCTTTTACACTCTTGTGAGCTTAAGGTTTGCCCAGTTAACCACTCATTTTGGAAGATACAGTTAAAATTTCATAACAGCTAATATTGTTCTTATCCTTGCCCTTCTTCTGAACACTTCTGTGACCCTTTGCCTGTTTATTTCTTCAGAATGACTTTCTGGAAAGCTCCTGGATTGCGGGTGACTTTTTCTGCTGCTCAGACCCTGAATAGCTATTATCGAGGTTTAAGAGGTACATCTCTCAAATCAGAGAACTGCATGGAGTGAAATGACGAACAGAATTATTTACAGTCACATTCAGTCTTGCTTTGGTTCACACTGCACTTCTATGTGAAACCATAGGGGCTGGGAGATAGCTACGTCCCTTGGTTCACCCGGTTGACAATGTAGCTCTTGACATTGGGTATAGGCCGTACATCATTCTGGTGCTTGCGGCGTTCTATGAAGCATGCTAGGCGGGAGGTGTCCAGGGGGATCTTAGAGTAGCTGCCATTATGGGGCTGCAGCCATGGATGCTGTAGGCATGTGGCTGCTGTGGGCCGCCTCCGAAAGTCTTCCTGTAAGATCACATTGATGAAATCTCTGGCAGCATTGCTCACACCACAGAAGTATTCATGGGGAAAGCTGAAATCCACCCTGCATACGTTGATACATGTCTCCTCTTTGCTCTCATCCAGGAAGGGGGAGACCCCACTCAGCATGACATATGTCAGAACCCCAATGCTCCAGATGTCTGTCCCCAGGGAGACAGGGATGCCTTGGATGACTTCTGGGGCAGCAAACTCGGGGTTTCCCAGCAGGTGGTGAATGTGGAAGTGACCCGAGATCTGGACAGCATCCTCCAAGTCAATGAGCTTCACTCGAGGCACTGGAATCCGTAGGTCAATGAGCAGGTTTTCAGGCTGCGGAGATCCAAAAAGGCAGGGAGAAGAGAAGGGAAGTTCAGGCTTCTGTTTTGACTGCTCACACCACCTCACTAATTCAGACATGGTTATGCTATTCTTTGATAAAGTCTACAGTGTATGGAAAATTCCCCATGCACTATGTGAAGTGCACTGGAGCCTTCAAACTATCATATTGAACTTAGAACTTAGTGCATATTGAGTGTGGTGGTACTTCAGAGAAGTTGTTTGACATTGAAAATCATGTCTTCTTAACTACACTGCTTCTGCATTGAATCAAGGTAATAATAAATTACTCATTTTGGAGAACAGGGGCTTCTTTTTGAGCAGCGTGGACGACAAGGTGACATTTGTTGGCTTACTTCTATGAAGTTAGATTAGGTAGGTAAACTTCCCTACCTTTTCTCACACTGGATGTCATTGTGGCTCTGGTATATCCTAATTAATTCATGGATGATACACTTAAATTGTGTGACAACCCAGATTCTCTTTAATATTCATAATGGGATGAGTGTGGCAGCTCACTCCTGTAATCCCAGCACTTTGGGAGGCTGAGGCGGACAGATCACTTGAGGCTAGGAGTTCAAGACCAGCCTGGCCAACATGACGAAACTCTGTCTCTACTAAAAATACAAAAATTAGCTGGGTGTGGTGATGAGTGCCTGTAATCCCATCTACTTGGGAGGCTGAGGCAGGAGAATTGCTTGAACCCAGGAGGCAGAGGTTGCAGTGAGCTAAGATTGTGCCATTGCACTCCAGCCTGGGCGACAGAGTAAGGCTCTGTCTCAAAAAAAAAAAAAAAATCGTAATGCACTCGAAATGAATTTGAATTTATATTCCTTATGAATAATGACTGGTAAGTTGGACTTGACCATTTAAGGTATTCCTTGCAAGGTTCCCACTTCTTATTACCTTTATGTCCAAATGTGCAACCCTGCAGTTGTGAAGGTACTGCAGAGCCTCCATGATGTCTCGGATATAGAAAGCTACTTTTTCCTCCATCAGTTCATCATGATTCATAAGGTAGTCTAACAGCCGGCCATCATCCATCCTGAAAGTAGGCAGGGAAAGGCAAAGGAAATATGTTTGAAATGAAGAAATAGAAAAATAACTCATGTAAAAATCAGTTAAGATCTCTAAGCTCTCTCATACTCCTTGTTTTACATGAAGACCAAATGTACAACACATGCACATTTTAGTTAGAGCCCAAAGTTAGTGTAATGTTCAGAACTAAAGTAAATATATTTGGTGTACTGCAGGGAAGAAATCTGTATAATCTTGTTTAAGAAACATTCTCTTTCATTACCTCTAAAAATTGCTCATAACAAAAAAGTTGTGACACCCATTTAAGAGGTTAGATTGCTAAGTAAAGAAAGCCTTCACCAAGAGAGACTTCAGCAACATTCTCATTAAACATAACATAGTGGCTGCAAGCAGCCCCACGTGTTTTGCAAAGTATGTCTTAATTTTATTTTATTATTAATTTTAGAGATGAGGTCTCACTGTGTCACCCAGGCTGGAATGCTGTGGCACAATCATAGCTCACTGCAGCCTCGATCTCCTGGGCTCAAGTGATCCTCTTGCTTCAGCCTCTCACATAGCTGGGATTTCCGGAGGAGGCCACTGCACCTAGCCAAACTATTTTCATTTGTCAATTTTTAGTTGGGGAAGACAGAAAGTAGGCAAAGTTTGTTCTTTGCATTATTGATCCCCCCTCCAACTTTTTTTGTTTGTTTATTTGTTTGTTTTTGAGACAGTATCTTTCTTTGTTTTGTTACCCAGGCTGGAGTGTGGTAGCATGATCTGTGCTCACTGCAACCTCCACTGCCCGGGTTTAAGCGATTCTCGTGTCTCAGCTTCCCAAGTAGCTGAGATTACAGATGTGTGCCATCACACTCAGCTAATTTTTGTATTTTTAGTAGAGAGGTGGTTTCGCCATGTTGGCCAGGATGGACTTGATCTCTTGACCTCGTGATCCACCTGCCTCAGCCTCCCAAAGTGCTGGGATTACAGGTGGAGTCACCATGCCCAGCTACATTCATTTCTTTCTTAGTATTTTTCATGTTATGTTAAAATCATCATCTATCTATTGGTCTTCCTCACTAAACTTGTAACTCTTCGAGGGCAAAAACAGTATCTCCCCCTCCACTGCCACCTTTTTTTTTTTTTTTTTTTTNTTTGAGATGGAGTCTCACTCTATTGCCCAGGCTGGAGTGTGGTGGTGTGATCTTGGTTCACTGCAACCTCTACCTCCTAGGTTCAAGCAATTCTCCTGCCTCAGCTTCCCGAGTAGCTGGCATTACAGGTGTGTGCCACCATGCCCGGCTAATTTTTGTATTTTTAGTAGAGATGGGGTTTCACCATGTTGGCCAGGCTGGTCTTGAACTCCTGGCCTCAAGTAATCTGCCCACCTCGGCCTCTCAAGGTGCTGGAATTACAGGTGTGAGCCACCATGCCTGGCCGACAATACCTTTCATTGGAACACAAGGACAGATGTTGTCACCTGTGGATGAGGATAGTTCACTGGCAATAGAATACACCATTTGAGTTAGGAAGTTCCCTACAAACAGGTCAGGCTCTGAAAGAGACTGTTAAGTCTAAAGTGACAAACTGCCAACTACTTAACTATATAAAGTTAAGTTTCACAAAAGGATTATGGATGCTAGCAGCATTGGTTTTGTTCTGTTTCTTTTTTCCAGCTGATTTTTAAAATAGCCAAACTTGTTTGCATTTTTGCTTTCTTATTATATCATAAATAAATTTGTGACAAGTTACTGACTCAAAGATCCCATACACACACACCTAGACTAACAAGCACGTAAGAGCCAGGCTAACAAGACAGTTGAAAGATGGAAAATGCAGGCCATTCGCTACTGAAAACGGGTTATGGTGGCGACATATGCAGCAATGGTCTTTGGCAGAAATGTCCATCTCCTGTCTAGGCCAAGGGCCTCATGAGCACCAATCTGATCATATTTCTGTCATTTGTATCACTTCTGAAAAGACCCTGTTCTCTTTAATCTCTGTAATATTGATCTAAACCACAGAGCATACTGTCTCTTCTTAGCCCGGGGTAGTGGTGGGGAGAATGGGATGTTATTGCTCTATCAAATCTATTCAGGAGTCACCTATATGGTTGCGTAAGTCCCTAGAAAATTTGGAGTGAGCGGAATGTTTTGAAGGTAAGGCTCTCCCCTAGAAGGAATTTCTTGGGTGGTAGACTGGAGATGCTATGGTGGTCAATTGACACATAGAGCCCTCTCTTTCATTTCAACTCCACCCTGTCAACCAGCCTACTGTCGACAAGCTATTCCCAAACTCCAGCCCAGCCCAAGAGTCCATAATAAAAGAAGATAAAAATGGAAGTAAGAGAGATATGGGTTCAAGTCCTAGCTTCTCCATTCCTAGTCTTAAGGAGCTAGTTTTAAGGACCTCCCTTATCCCTATTATGATTTTTTAATCTTTGAAATGGAAGTGACATTGATTACAAAATGGGGGAGACAGTGCATGTTATATCAGCACTTTGCAATGATAGGACCTTGTATAAAACATAACTATCTTTTCCATTAATTGTGGGCAAGAAATAACCTAAATGGATGGGGGCCACTTAAGAGAGGCAGCATCTGTACTTACAGTTCCAAAATCAGGATGTAGGATGTGGGGGACTCATAGGTGTCATGGAGAGTGATGTACTGGGGGTGCTGTAGGTGCTGAAGCAGGGCAGCCTCGTGGGCAGCCTGTTCTTTCTTCTTCATTTTTTTGCTAACAAATTTCACAGCCACATCTTTGCGGGTAGCTTTGTGGATGCATTTCTTTACTATAGAGAAACGGCCTCTGGAAAAACAAAAGGGAGAGTTTGCCAACACTCGTCAATTAACTACATATATTTTATTCACAGATGCGTAAAGTTTTGCATGAAATGGTCAGATAGATTTTATTAGGAATCTTACTCTCCTATATTTTTAGTTATAATGTTATTCAGAAAATCCATTTTTTCTTCTTTAGCATTTTAGGGTTTTTAAGATATGAAAAACTAATATTTTATATTATATATAATTGTATTATAAATTATATTTTTATATTTAATATAAATCTTATTTTTAGAGGCAGGGTCTTGCTCTGTTACCCAGGCTAGATAGAGTGCAGTGATGTGATCATGGCTCACTGGAGCCTCAGCTTTCCAGGCCCAAGCCTTTTGCCTTGGCCTCCCAAAGTGCTGGGATTACAGGTGTGAGTCACTATGCCTGATGTAACTAATGTAATTTTTAAAATTTTTTTATTTTTTTTAAAGACGGGGGTTTCACCATGTTGGTCAGGCTGGTCTTGAACTCCCAACCTCAGGTGATCCGCCCGCCTTGGCCTCCAAAGTGCTTGGATTACAGGCCTAAGCCACCACACCCAGCCTAATGTAATTTTTTTAACTAACATTTTTCTCTGCCATTTTAACCAACAAAAGCAGTTCAGTTTTCTAGGCAGAACATATATTTCTGTGAAATACAAAATAGAAATAGCAATAATGTTAAAGAAGGAGGAATTCTACTCAATAATAATTTTAAAAGCATTTTAATTATTATTTTTCTCCTTCTCATACGTGCCAGTTCTACTTCCTTCAAGGTCTAGCACAAATGCTACCTCTTTATGGGGCCATGACATCATGAAAAGATCAAAGACTGTAGAGCCATTGCAAATCGGATTTTTTAAAATTTCAATATGTTTCTGGGGAACAGGTGGTGTTTGGTGACATGAGTAAGTTATTTAAAGGTGATTTCTGAGATTTTGGTGCACTCATCACCCTAGGAGTGTGCACTGTACCCAATACACAGTCTTTTATCTCTCACCCTCTCCCACCCTTTCCCCCAAGTCCCCAAAGTCCATTGTATCATTCTTATGCCTTTGTGTCCTCATCAGCTTAGCTCTCCCATTAAAAACATTTTTAAAGAGTCAATTGTTTCATTTTATGTTTGTTATCTTTTTATTACGGAAAATTTCTAATATACACAAAAGTAAAGAAAATAGCGAAATAGATCTCCTATGCACCCAGCTTCAATAATCATGAACATTTTAACCAATTTTGTATCACCTATCTCTTTTCTATCCCCTGCTTTTTTTTTTTTTTTCCTGGAGTAGTTTAAGCAAATCCAGATATAATGCCATTTCACCCATAAATATTTCAGTTTACATCCCTAGCGACAAGAACACTTAAAAATATATAATCACCCTGCCATTAGTACATCTGACAAAATTATCTGCTCCTGAAATAGAATGGTTCTCAGATGCAGCTGTTGCCGTGTGGAAGGTGGCAAGAGAGCTCTGTAGGGGCACAGGTCAGCAATGGGGCAGATGACGGGAGGGTCAATGAGGTGACAAGGCAGTGCCATCTAAGCCCTGCCCATGAGGTGTCCTAACCCACGAGCAGAGGAGTAAACAGTCTGAAGACCAGCCCATTCCTCCAACAGAAATGGGTGTGTCATGGCTACCATGAAGGTCATCCTCCTTGACCTGGCTCTGTGCTCTACAAGCAACTTTCTAAGAATACTTTTTTTCCCCGTCGTATATTTGCATAAAATAAAACAATGTGCTAATGAGGCCAGGTGCAGTGGCTCATGCTTGTCATCCCAGTGCTTTAGGAGGCTGAGACAGGAGGATCGCTTGAGCCCAGGAGTTTTAGACCAGCCTGGACAACATAGTGAGATCCTTTCTCTTAAAAAAAATTTTTTTTTAGGCTGGGCGAGGTGGCTCAAGCCTGTAATCCCAGCACTTTGGGAGGCTGAGGCGGGTGGATCACGAGGTCAAGAGATCGAGACCATCCTGGTCAACAAGGTGAAACCCCGTCTCTACTAAAAATAAAAAAAATTAGCTGGGCATGGTGGCGCGTGCCTGTAATCCCAGCGACTCAGGAGGCTGAGGCAGGAGAATTGCCTGAAC